CTCTTTTCTACAAATACTATAATGGGCACTGCTCTAAAGAGCTAGCGTCTCTTGTGCCATCTACTAAAATTCATTCTCGTGTTACTCGTCATTAAATTAAATCTCATCCTTTTTCTGTTACTATTCCTAAGTGCTCCAAAAACTCTTATTTGTCTAGTTTTTTTCCTCGAACATCAGTTCTTTGGAATTTGCTTCCGTCATCTTGCTTTCCTGATTCATATAATTTGCAATATTTTAAGTCGTCTGTCAATCGTTATCTTGCTCTGCAATCTTCATCTTTTCTCTTCCATTAACTTCCAACACTAGTTAGTGGTTGCTTGCAACCTTGTTGGAAGCGAAGATAATTAAAAATTTAAAAAAAAAATTAAAAAAAAACAAAAACTAAGAGCCCCGGGGCAGGAGATTTATAATTTAAAGTTTATTTCTCCTAGTCTTTTCTTAAAAAAGAACAACCCGCAAGGTAACAGGGCATAGAACAGGTAGTACTGGGTTGCATAATATCAGTAGCAGGGTTATCATGATGATCATGAATCTGACATAAACTCGAGTAACTATAAGAAGCAACTTCATGCAAACTATACCTTAAATTTTTCCTAATGATTTTTCAAAATAATATTTCGGAAAATCATTAAGAAAAGTATTACATTTAACAAAATACAAGAGATTAAAATAAGCCAAGGTTTTATAGTTAGAGAAAAAACTAAAAATATGCAACAATGATTGTATTTGGGTTCAAGAAAATGTTCAAGGCACTTATATTTTATGAAGACCTAATGTTTTTTATCTTTGTTAACCTATTTTACTTGGAGCATTTCTTTTGATGTTTACAACTCTATAATGATTAAACTTTTAATATAATTTATGTTTATTTATTTAGTGTCTCTCACTTTGAACCGAACCTAATGTAGGTGATGGGTTTTTTCGTTTTTAATTGCTTTGTTGATAGATCTACCATCTAGATATAGTTGTACAGTTTTCTTTACTTTTACCAAAATTACAAACCTACTTATCCATTTTTACAATTGTTCAGGTTTCAGTGACATCTTGGAATCACAAATTTCAGGTTTTTTTTGAAATTGACGGACAAAGTGCATTTACTTCCATTTTTACCTTTTGTTCTTTTTTGTTTCAAATCATGAGCGCATTTATTACACGCAACATTGTATTGTATTGTTTCCCTTAAATATTTTGAAAACTTTATACTTTCTTTACAATTATTTATAAAAAAATTTTATTATTATTTACAAAACTCTAAGAAACTCCACTATAGTCTGATCTAAAATATTAGCGCTTCACATTAAAGCACTTACGGGTAATATTTATTATATTATTAAATAAGTAACATAATAATTATTGTATATGTAATATAATTGTTATTATATTACATGTTTTGTAAAAAAACAATTCTAAACAAATGGTTTCGTGAGGTACCCTGCATAGCTACTTAATGCTAGCTACTTAATGTTTGTGTCAAATTACTATACTTTACATGAGAGTAGCGAGTTTCGAAAATATTTTTTTCACCACTCAATAATAATATTATATTAATCGATAAATTAAAGTTTCATATAATAATCTTTAGCGTTTAAAAATTATGGAAACAAAATTAATTAATATGAAATGCAAGTATGATTGAGTCTAATTAAACAGATTCATTATTTAAACAGTTAATATACACTAAGACTAATTGAAGGGTATCAAGCTTATGATGCTCAAGTATGAGGCTGATGGTACTTAATTATGGTTCTAGGAAATAATCCGCGGGAAAAAATCCCACCGGAAAAAATCCCCCCGAAATAATCCCCCGAGAAAAAATCCCACCGAGAAAAAATCCCCCCGGAAAACATCCCTCGAGAAAAAATCCCTCCGGGAAATATCACCTCAAAAAAAGAATTTTTTTTTTTTTGCATAAAAATTATCAATTTGCAGTTATGTTTATTTCTTTCTTTATTTTAAATATTTATATATAATACTTCAATTTTCATCAAAATGTCAAGTTATGCGCTATTTCTCGAAGGTAGCGAATGTGAAACCCTAATCCTAACCCTCACGAACTGCGAAGTAGTAAAATGTGAACTTTTTTGCGAACCATTGTAGTTAATTTAGCGGTATATTTGAAGGACTTTTAAGCGAAAAAAATATTTAAAAAAAATAAAAAGAAATTAAGTGAAAATAGACGAAAACAATATGAAAATATATATATACATTTTAATTATTTAATAGACTGCCTGCCCAACCCAAACCTTCAGTCGATTTAACAGGAATATCAAATTAAATTTCGTTAATGTATTGATTCCCTTCAGGTGACCTTTAATAGCTTTTTCCGATTCTTTACCATTTGTCAGGGTTCATTATTTGGTATAAAAAACAGATATCTGCCCATTTTAATGCAACAAGCTTAACTGTTTTTTCTCAAATCGTTGACTGTCTGTAGAAGTAAGTATGTAACCAAGTAGTAAATAAATTGCCTGGAAGTTCTATATTTAATGGCTAATATTTGATAAACTTTACAAAATAATCTTAGGAAATTTCTTTTTATTCTAAAAGCATCTCATTACGTTAATCAATTGCTTTAAATGTCATATTTCCATTTCAATTCATTCTATTTCAAACTACTATTGTCAAAATTTAAAGTTAAATAATCATATTTATTGCATATTGCTTCAACAAAATAAAATGAAAATCCAGGTATTACACCTGCATTACCTCCAAAAACGTCATACAAACAAAACGTTTAAAATCAATCTAATATATGGTGTTGACAACCAACATGGAGAGGTTTCTGAAAGCCAGAACTTTCAAAATGTTACATTAATGTCTATATAGCGCCACTTTTTTTCCTAGTGTTAACATTTGTAGTGTCTGTCGCGATCATTTTTATAGATTTCCATAAACCATATTCATACGAAGTCTTTCAAAACTGTCTCTAACTTGACATTATTCATTACCATTGGCTTTTGCCTAATCTCTTTTTTATTGTTCTTTATCACTACTATTTGATGTTCCATCCCAGCTATCATTTCCATCAAAATGCAAAGATTAAATCTGGACCATTAGTTATTTTCTCATTTTATCTCGTAACTTTTTACCTTCTCTGATGACTGCCATATAGATTGAGTTTGTGCTGGAAGAACAACACCAATCATTTGAAGTTGTTGAAACACTGTGGCAACCGCGGTCACTTATTGTCTCAATACTTTAAAATTTAAGTTAATGACATTGATGAATTGTTTCCAATTTTAATTTTCTTTAAGAATGAATTTTTTTAAGATCATCAGACTTCATAGTAGTATATCAAACAACATCAGATGTCTCTAATTGCTTTCAATAAAGATTTTTATTTTTAAAATACTACTAAAGTCCATCTTCTTTCGTTATATCTAATGAACCATCAAAACTATAAGTTCTTGGTTTTTTGATTTCTACTTGTCTCTTTTTAATATATCTTTCTATTTTTCTTAGCACTGATTTGTTGTCTATTGTTAAAAAATTAAAGTTAGTATATAGTTCTAAACTTCATTTTAAATTTTTTTTTTCGTCCTTTCACATTTTTACAGTCTGATACCGAGCTGGGGTATTGTTTGATTATTTGTCAATTTGTTTTTCGTCCTTTCACATTTTTACAGTCTGATACCGAGCTGGGGTATTGTTTGATTATTTGTCAATTTGTTGGGGATGATTCTACAGATTTACTTTAACGTTTTTTACTTTTCTCTTTTTTCATACGTAAATTGATATTTTGGTTGCAGTAGAACTTTTGTTTGAATGGTTGTATAATGACTAAACTTGTAATGCCTGTTTAAATTACATACCACAAAATTAAATTACATACCACAAAATTAAATTACATACCACGATATTTCACTAATAAAAAAAAATAGTTTTCCGTCGCAAAGCATTAAGTCAAATAAAAAAAACAAAATTGCGCGATAAATTTAATGAAAACCGCCGCATAAAAGAACTTAAGATCTCCTACTTCTGTTTTTAAAATAAATAAAGCGTTTTGTAATTTATAATTCATCCCTTAGAAACTACAAATCATTTGGTTCGTGACTTTTTTAAAATGATGTATTTTTAAATTATTGCCATTTTTGTCAAAATATAAAAGCGTATATCTAGGTGACACGCTCATTTAAAAATCTTGACATTATTTTTTGTTCTAAAACCCTACTCCACATATACTTTGGTCGAATTCTTGTTTTTTACAGTTTCTGGTCTTTTGAAATTGTTGAAAACCTTTTGAAATTAGTTTCTAACGCGTCAATTAGTTTCTAACACGAACAATATTTTCTTAATAATTTATTTTATTTCAGTCAAGTTATTTAAAAAAAGTAGTGCAACAAAAAAATATGAATAAAATCGTGATTTATGTAAACAAAAGATAACATAACAAACATTTTTTATAATATCTTATGTTATAGATTTTACGCAACATTAAAACTGTAAATAAGTACCCACTTTTTAAAACGTTTTTTTTTTAAATGATATAGAAGAAAATGATTTAAAAAGTGGAATTTTGATCATGGTTTCAAAGTCAAGTAAAATATATAAGATGCTTCATAATCATAATTGTTTTATATTTTTAAATATGTTTTCCAAATGTGGCTTACACGAATCTAACTCATTTTAATATAGCTTATTGTTTGTTCTGATCTAGTGTGTTTTTAATGCTATAAGCTTTATAGCCACGCATAAACCGCACATACGCCACCTCTTAAGGGAGAGGGGTAATAAATGTTAAATGTACAACTGCTATGCATGACTCTCAAATAAATTTTTTGTCGGAGTTATATGAGATAAAAGGTATAAAGTTTATAAACAAAGAATTTATATTAAATATAAATTTTTTTATAGAAAAAGCATTCAACTTTTCAATATCTTTTAGTTTGAAAATTAAAACTTCTGTAAATTTAAAAATTCCTATTCACTATTTTCTACTAAGTAAGTAAGTGTATAAAAAACATGCATTTCTTGTTCTTGCTTAATAAATAAAATTTTACCACAATTATAAACATGAGTAAACAAATTCCAATTGGCAACGGAGTTGATCCTTCACTACATACGATATTTTTCATCATAGTACCAATTTTCATGATTAATTACAATAATCTGAAAAATAAAATTTGTCGTTCAAACAATATCACTCAAGTCCATCTATAATTTAAAAAAAAATACAGAGATCAAATGCTTTTATTTTTTAACTTTTTAATATTTTTTGTTGTATAATATGAATGAAGATATTATTTTTTGAATTGAACTCAAAAACACTATTTAAAGCCTAAAATACTATTTAGAACTGATATCCTTTTGAAAAAAATTTTTGATGACTTCGTTTCATTTTTGTAACAAAACTTTTAAGGCCGTTACATATTTCGCAGAACTTGATCTATAAAATTACAATATCTAATTTATATATCATCTTTCACATTTAAAAATTTCATTAAAAAACTTAAATATTCTAGTAAGTATTTAAGTTTAAAAATGGAAAAATTTGAATATGAGCATATTTTAAAACCAATGCTTTAGTTGGACTTTCGATACAAGCCATAAAAATCAATTGGTTTTAGTTCATGGTGACCAACAAAATAAAGCACGGTTGCGAAGTGGGCTACTTTATTTAAAGTAGAAGAGAGAGTCTCAAACCACGTATACAACTGAGAACATTGAATTGCTGCAGAAAATTCGGACGCAACACATAATGTAATTATTATTTTTATTATTATTTTTGTAGCCGTAAAATATACATACCATATATTTGTTACCCTAACCCTAATCCTAATCCTAACCCTTATATACAGCTAGCAGGAAAACACCCTACTATAAACAACAAGTTTTATAAATATTCGTTCCAAATTATATTCTCAACCAGTGATCTAGTCTAATTTTAAAGAAAGTACAGTTGAGTATAAAGTTACTTGTTCGGATAGTTCATTCCAGTATTTTTCTGATCTGTTATATAATTGATTGTGTCTTGGACAATTAGGAACATATTCACGTCTTATTTTAAGATGGTGACCACGTGACAATGAATAAATTAACTTTTGGTTGATAATAAAGCCCTGACATTGATTAATCGTTTTACAATCAACAAAACTATTCACAACGTTGTTAAAAAGAAAAAAACAACATTACGTTGGTTACCCCACAACTTATCCAATCAAAATTGCAACAATATGCATGTAAGGAATGATGATTCGTGGATTTATTTCACAAGTTGGCTAATCCTAGTTGGGTCGGTGAAGATGAATGTTCAGAAAGTAATGTTAGACGCGACAAATTTGAGCCAAAAAATATATTTAAAATCTTTTTTTAAAACAATATGTAAATTTATTTGGTTTATGTTAAAGAGAAAGATATCATTACTATTTGATATTGTATAAGAAACTGTTTTAAACATTTTTTATGTAAATTAAATAACCAAAGACTAAAACGCAAACTTTTAAATTTATCCATAATAGTGCTTGTAACTCAAATTATCACAAATTGTTTTAACCGACCTTGAATCACAATATCTTGCCACCAGCCATATATACTAAAGTTAGCTCTACCCAATTATTGGCTATTCGACTTGATGAAAATGTCTTGATGACAATTTTGCGATTGAAATTCAAAAAAACTGCATGAAAAGCTACTTCAAAGTATACCCAAAGAAGAGTATAGCGTTATACAATAACGAGTAATAGCGTTTGACAAATGGGTTGAAAAGATTCAGTTTTTTCTACGTAATTAAGAAAATTGTTTCGAACATCTAATAAATTAAAATTAAAAAACAATTTGTTTTTTTGTACAGGGAATTTCCTAGAGATTTCCAAACGAACTAATTAAAATTTTATTATTTAGTTCACACTTTTTATATTTAAGAAAAAAGAAATATATCCTTAATGCTGTAAAATGGAAAGTTTTTTTGAGATGAAAAAATTCATTACGAAGAACAGTATAAAAGCACAAAGGCAACATCTATCATCTAACCAAACTAAATTAAGTAATGAACTTTCAAAGAAGAGATAGACACAAAGATAACAATGAATGAAAAAAGTCGAGATCAAGAAAATATTATGACCCCAAAACATCTGAAAAGGTTCATAATAAATCCCAATGTCTTGAAAGCTATTTTGAACAAAAGTATATAAATATATTACTATTATTGTTATTATTTTAGCGAATTTGTAAAGTAGCGAACAACACTATTATAGAGAAAACTAAAAAAATATATATTTTTCTAAACCATACATTTTTTGTTAAAAAAATCTTATTTTCAAAGAGATATTGATCTATTGAAAAAGTTACCAGAGTTAGTGTTAATAAAGGCCGGATAGGGTTAATAAAGGAGGGATAGGGTTAGAGTTAGGGCTCTTTAAAAGTTTTAATAAACATTTAATCGAGAGAATATTTATGTAACTACGCAATTTTGAAAAAAATTAAAGCTTTTATTTTAGTTGTTTTTGAATAAATTTAGCAAAACTACTTCTACCTAGCTAAATCATAGGATTGACTAATTAATTAACTTAATTAATTGTCTCCTATAATCTAAAACTCATTAAAAAATTTTTGGGTCGTCTCTAAATCTCCCCGAAAAACACAAAACACGTTTTTAATAAAATGTCACTAAACAAAAACAAAAAAAAATGTTTCTTTTTTTTAAAAAAACAAGCTGTTGCATATTTTGAATTATTGACAAAAAAACCTTTCATATCATTCATCTTCTGAGTAATATGGAAAGAATAGGATTTTAGTCATTAATGTATTAAAATAAGAAAAGCAAATAAGAATTCAATATATTTAAGATTGCAACTATTTTTTATAAAGTTACGCAGTAAGATGGCAGCACTAAATTGACTTAATACATTAGTATTGTCAAGACCTTATCAAAATAAAAGGTTTCGCAAAAACATTCTTAAGAAGAGTGAATTTTTCTTTATTTCTTTATTGTTTGTCTTTTTAAGAAAAATATTTTATGAATTTTAATACATTTTTTCCGTTTTCAGTTGTTTCAGTTCTAAGTACTGCTATTTTTATCCTCACTGTAATACGAAAATTTTTTGTTCTTCTGTATCTATAATTTTAATTTTTGCAGCTGGTTAATCTACCAATTGTTAATTAATAATGCAAATTTAGTTAAATTGTTTTTGTAAACATAAAGTTTTCTTTATTTTATAATTATTTTTTTTTTGCATAGAATTTTTATGTCATATAATAAAATTTACAATGAAATAAATTGTGTTGATAAATAAGAGAGCTGGAGCAAGCAGAAGACATAAATTATTTTATCATCAAGCCCCATCTTAAAATTTACATTAAAAAATTGTCATTTAATATACAAAAATGAAGAGTAGCTAAGTACATTATAAGAATTTCAAACACGTTAGTTATAGTATAACTAGTAATACAATATAAATAATAATGTTGAAATATAACGCATAATATTAAAGATTAACAATAGTTTAAAAGTTTTTCACCAAAAAATTAAATTAGATTAAAATTGCAAAAAGAGAAGTCAATAACTATTTTTTTGATAATTTAGATAATAGTCAATAACTATTTTTTTAGATAATTTTTATTACTTAATGTATTTATTACTTAATGTATTTATTTAGATTCTTAGATTCTTTTCTAAATTTTTCCAAAGAGATGTTTTAAACATTATTATTTTTTGTAATAACTTTTGAAAAATGTTTCCATAAATTTTATATTTGTTTTGCTTTTTTGTTTTGTTACTATGTATAAATAAAGTGATTTCCAGTTTATATATATGGTGCATTTTTTTAATTAGGTTACTTTTTTTAGATTATTCAGATGATCGGCCGGGTGAATAAAAAAAGCAATTGTTTTCACTCAATAGTTGGTCAGCTTTAAGCGAATCAAAACTCTTTTGTTTTGCGAATCAAAACAATTTTGTTCGAATTAAAAGATCAAAATATCCAAAAAATAAGGGAATAATCAGAGAAACTAAGTTAAATTTTGAAGAAATCAGGAAAAAAGGTTCTTCATCTAAACTACCTAATTGAAGTAAGTTTTATATTGCACATGTAATGTAAAATTTTATTCAGCAATTAGTTTTATAAACATATCACGAAAAATCTTGGAAATCCACCATAAAATATTGGCAGAGACCAATATTTTAAATTTATATATGTTATGCATATAATATCTAGAGGCCTTTAAAGGGTTATAGATAGATGCATAACATGTATAAAGATTTTGTATACAATAATAAACGAAAGGTAGAGAACTTTTTAAAAATATTTTCTAAAATTTCTCAAAACATTAGAATGCTTTAAAAATTTCTAAAACCACGATAACATCGTTAAAAATTTGTTGCGCATATGTCATGATAAAGATACTTAAGTTATTAATGTGCTTAGTGATTAGTTAATTCTGCGCATTAAAGAGACAACTTTCTTTTTTTTAGAAAACAGATTTTACATGGAAACTTTAACGTTTTTTAAATTAATGGGGTAAAAAAAATTGAAAATTAAAAAAGGAAACCTATTAAAGAAAAAAAAAAACAACCCCCAGTCCCCGTTTTGCTTTATTTACTTATTTCTTTTATAGAAATTTACAATATTAATAAAGGGTTAAAAATTAATCATCAACTCAAAACGAAGATTTTTATATTTTTCTTTTTTTTTTAAATTATTAAAGTAAATTGGAATTATTAAAATGGTCGGTGTGGAATAGACTTAACATAACAATATATCATTGCCTTTATATATGTGTTTAAGTACGAAAATAATTATCATACATATTTTTTTAATTTTTTTTAGGTTATTTAGATTCTCACAGAAGTCCTTACGGTCTTATTAAGGAGGACTGCGGGAGAGTATTTAACTAGAAGCTCGCGCCTGCTTCCTCACCAATGTCACTTATTGGGCTAGAGCTGATGACGAACCTCAGACCTCTGGGTTCTAAGCCAGAATTCTAACCACTGCACCACGGCTGCTCTTTTTGAAATTGTTATTTTTCTTCCTATATAAAATGTAAATTTAGTTAAAACTAAATAAATTAATTGACATATTGCAAAACTAATTATTGAATAATGCATTGTAATCAGGCAATAGTATTTATGCAAAATATTAGAAAAATCTATCGTTAGGAAGTAACTCAAAAATTGATTGCAAGATTCGAATAGTAAACAACTTTTGCTATTTGCCATCAGAAATATTTGGGCCAGACGTTGTCCAGCGCACCCGTAATAACTTGTTTTTGTGTAACCTATCACTAACTTCTAAAGTTTTGTTCCGTATGGTTTCATTTTTTGTCATAAGTTAAAAATCTACAAAATAAAAATCTATATAACTTTACTTACAAAAACTCTTACTTATAAAATATGCTTACTTATAAAATATGTTGTCTCATTCGGCATTATTTTTTTCTTTGGCTCAACGTATAACTTAATATTATATAAATAAAAAATACTTACTGTCTTTAAATTCAAACCGCAAACCTTTATTTATTTGATCAGAAAATATAAAAGCGTAATTTTCCTTGTCTTTACTCTAAAAATAATTTATATAAAAATATATCATATAAATAAATAAAATGTATTTATCATTTACTGTAATATAAAGTAGGTATATTATCTACGTAGGTATATATTATCTCTCTACTTTTTTATTACATAAAAGTAGGTAGTTATCATAAATAAAAGAAAAGTTTACAAAATTTAATCAAAAAATTTTCAATGCTTTTTTATTTCTTTAAGTAAAACATTCTTGTAATAAACAACCGTTTTATACAAGTAGGTGCAATTGCTGATTTTAATTTTTATTTATTTTTTTTCTTATCCATTGATTTAAAAAATGTTAAAAGCGCTAACTATTTTTGATATTAGTATTATTGTTAGCCTCATTATCATAATCTCTGTACACTAACTAAGTATTAGAAGACAAATTACGTTCTTTGATTTTTTACCTTATTATGCAAAAGTTTTAAATCTAACTAAATCAAAAAAACAATTGTTTTTTATGATTTATGCTTTATTAGTAGTATTCAAATGTATTTTATTTGTTCAACTTCTTTTTATTCTAGCTAAGAAACTCAAATGAATTACTTTCCGTTTTTTCATCTGTTAAAACTTTTTATTTATATTTGCATTTATTTTATTTAAAGTTTTATATCTATATATAACAATTTCTTTTTCTGTTAAAAACGTCATACTAATATTAGATGCGTAGTCGGGCTACCACTATTTTTGTCAGTACAGAAGAAAAAAGTTTATTATGACATTGATCAACTTAAACAACCCAAACAACAACAACAACAAAAACTTTTTTTCGACATAATAGTTGCCGATATAATAAAAAAAGGCTTTATTGTACATTATTGACATTTTGGTTGATTAGGTCAAAAAATTGTCAACATTATCAAAAACAAAATAGGCTAAACTTGGCAGTCAACGCTTCGCAAATTTACATTTTTTTTCCAAAACAAAAGATCAATGAATTAAAAGTCTTTAGTTCATTGAATTAAAGACTTTTAATTCAAAGAATTAAAGACTTTTTTTAAAGAATTCTGGTTGAGTGGCCATGCGACTATTTCAAATACTATAATAGAGAACAAGTATCATTCCCATAGACCATCTTGAATTAGGTTCATAAAAAAATCAATATTGGAATTGTTTTTCCTAAAAATACTAATAAATAGCTGAATCTTGATCTAAAAAATTCTCGTGGAAAAGTTGCATTGTTGCCTTCTACAGATTATATTAAATATATGAGATTATAAATGCAAATAAAGTAAAATGTTTGAAAAAAAAAGTTTTTTTTAACAATAGTTCCAGGGAAATTAGGAAAAGGTATGAATGTTGTTTTGTACCTACCACCACCATTCGATCTGTCGAGTGCATATTTTAATAAAGTCATTATTCCTTTTCTTATTTCGGCAACTGTAGCAGTCGCTTTAATTGATATGACGCTCTCTATAAAAAAAGGTATTGCCTTGGTGTTTTGCAGTAAATACATAAAGTAGTTAAAAATAAAACAGTATTAAAGCAACGAACTCTGATTTTTAAAAATATATAATTTTACACTTGACTTACCAGTAACAACCTTACAAATGTTTTTTCCTTTAAACTTACATCTCAGCGGGCACGACAACGTCCATATGACGTCGAAAGGACGTCTTTTTAGGACGTCCGGTTATAGTTCTAAATGGAAACGCCAGATGACGTCTTTTTAAGACGTAATTAAGACGTCTTTTTAGGACGGAATAAAGACGTTTTTTTAAACGTCTAAAATACGTGAATTTAGGACGTTCAGAACTAGTGCTAAATTGAAACGCCAAATGACGTCTTTAAATAAACTAATTTAGACGTTCTCATTTCGACGTCTAAAATACGTGTTTTTACATGGCTTTACTTAACGTAAGGTTCAAATTTATGTTTTCACAGAACTTCTTGTTTGAATTGAAAAAAATAATAAATCGTTTAAATTTTTTAATAATATATAATATTTTAATAATAATATATAATATTAATATATAATAATTTAATAATTGTGCTGAGTTTTATAAATTACAATTTAGTAAACTTATTTTTCCACTTGTTAATTTCCAAGAATCGAATGTTCGAACAGTTGACGTCATTCACCTTCTTTTTGATCAGATACTCTCTTTAAAGTATTGCCACCAGCATTTTAAAGTTTTTTTGTTGTTGTAGGAATCAGGAAAGCGGTCTTAACCCTAAAAAAATATTTTCCAGATAAGTATGTAAAAATAAAAGGGAAATAAACAACACACACACACACACACGCACGCACACATATATATAATTATTATTTTATAAATAAACATCAAACATCAAAAAATACGAATTTCTCAACACTAAATTGATTTTTTTAAAGAAGTTTTTGACTGGATTGATGTGAACGGCTTATATATTTATGTATATTATATTATATTATGTATGTAATATAATTGCGGTATTAAAAATGCTCTTTTTATAGTAAAATTATACTTACTTTGAAAGCATGCCCTTCTCAAATGCACTGCATTATGAGCCACCAACATTTAATAACTTCTATTTCTAAATTCAAAAGATAACATTAGTGTAATTGATATGGGACAATTTAGTGTAAGTTATATTGGGCATAGAAGCAATACATTAGTGTTTTAATCAATTCAAAAATTTTGTGTAAATTATGTTTATTTGTAAAGTGAGCAAAATTTTTTATGAATTTATGATAGGAATTTACCCTTAAAAAGAAAACTAAACATTCAACCATAATAAAAAATATACTACTTTTTGCAACATTTGTATCGAGAAATGATTGATCACCTTCAAAAAACTTGGCAATAGAATCACACTAGTAAAGATCAAAACTATTCTCAACTTTAAACCTTTTTTATATTTCATTATTCTTAAGATAAGTAAGTAAATGAATGAAAGACTATATATTAGTTAATTAAAAAACAATATACTATTATAACTTAATATATATATACATATATATATATATATATATATATATATATATATATATATATATATATATATATATATATATATATATATATATATATATATCTGTATATATGAATCAGGGAAGCAAGATGAAGGAAGCGAATTCCAAAGAACTGATGTTCAAAGAAAAAAACTAGAGGAATAAGAATTTTTGGAGCACTTAGGAACAGTCACAGAAAAAGGATGAGACTTAATTGAATGGCGAGTGACACGAGAATAAATTTTAGTAGATAGAACAAGGGACGCTAGCTCTTTAGAGCAGTGCCCATTATAGTACTTGTAGAAAAGAGAAAGAGAAGCAACATCATGACAATGTGACAGTGGTTGGAGATTGGCTGCAAGAGCAGATCCAACTATGTTTACAATGCGTTTTTGCACCTTATCTAAAAAAGAAAGGGCATCATTAGAAGGTCCGCCCCAGATATGGCAACATTATTCCATACAGGGACGGGTTTGAGATTTAAAGAGATAGAGAAGAGAATTTGGAGTAAGGAAGTGTCAAGCTCGATAAAGAAATGCAGCCTTAGCAGATGCTAATTTTGCAATGGATTTGATATACCATTTAAAATAAAGATCAGAAGTAAAAGTTAATCCTAGAAGATGAAGGGTAGATGACTCATCTAGTACATTATCATTCATAAATATAGGAAGATCTAAACTATTGTGATAACAATTGGCCAAAAAAGAATTGAGTTTTATCTGAAATAAAGTTCACCAGCCATTGTAAGCCCCATACTGTAGCAGAGGTGAGATCCTTTTCAAGCTCAGAAAACCCCTTCAAGCAATCAGAGAGTGTAGGCTTTTTTTTATGACAAGAATAAATGGTAGTGTCGTCAGCGAACAATGCAACCTTAGATGTGAGAATACCTGGAAGATTGTTAATGTAAATTAAAAGAAGTATAGGGCCGAGGATTAAACCTTGAGGAACCCCTGAAGTTACAGGATAAAAAGAAAAGTGTTGAAGTTACAGGATATGAAGAAGAGTGCATTTATATATATATATATATATATATATATATATATATATATATATATATATATATATATATATATATATATATATATATATATATATATATATATGTATATTTATAACTAACTTAAAATTTTACAAACTACATCTTTCGAAAGAGAATTCTTAAATGTTCTTTTTTTCTTGGTGAATTGACTAGGTACCTAATTTGTGTATTGCGGAGTATTTAAAAATTAATTTATAAAGAGAAAAGGTCTCGGCAGTTAAAAAAACTTCCAAGATAGTTATTACAAGAAGAAATATTACTTACATTTATTTTTGTAAAACTTTAAAATTTATCATTGACTTCATATATTTTTTATTTAACTTTTTTTGGGAAAAGCAAAATTTTGAATGACAGACTTTCAAATTTTGGAGAAGCTGAATTGAATTAAACTGAATTAAAGAAGTTGTTACTAATAAAAATTCATTAGGCATATTACATAAAATAAACTATATTACATTACTATTACATAAAACGAACTATAGCCAAAACCATTGCTTTATTTTTTTAAAACCGAAGGCAAAATTAAAAATGAACTTTAGGGTTAAATACATTTAATCCAATAAAATTTCTTTAACTTAAAACAAAATTAAATACAAAAACTACAAACACATCAATTCTAGATTCCTAAATGCATATTTAAATAAATGCAATATGAGTTTTTGAAATACAAAACAAAAATGTAACATAATATTTCCAAATATAAACATGTATTTGACCAAAACATATATATCAACTGACACTTGATGTAGTTGACGCTCCTAAAAATAAAATCTTAATTAACAAGTAAACAAAATTTATGGAAAAGTAAAAAATATTTAACAAGTGTTATTTTCTTAGCATTAGCAATATTTTTTTTTTAATTTTTTTTAACTTTTCTGTTTAACTTTAAATTGTATATATTTAATGTTTGACACTATCTTTTTCTAAATTTTAACAAATACTACAAATTCTACTAATTTTAACTAATAAAAAATAATAAATAAAAATTCTAAACTTTAACTAATTCTACTAATTCTAAAT